ACAGGTCCTGCTGCTCAGCAGGAAGCCTTCCACCAGGGCTACCTATGTAGCAAAGTGGAAGCACTTCACATGTTGAGCCTCGGACAAGCACATTCGTCCAGAGGTGTCCCCACTGCAGAACATCCTGGACTGTTAGTTGCATCTTAAGCTTCAGGGCTTGTCGTTGTCTTTGGTCAAGGTACACCTGGCGGCCCTTTCGGCGTTCCACCGTCCGCTTCAGGGCAGGTCGCTCTTCTCCCATCCCATGGCAGTGCGGTTTCTGAAAGGTCTAGAGCACCTGTACCCGCATGTCTGGGAACTGGTCCCCCCGTGGGATGTGAATCTTGTGCTTTCAAAGCTCATGGGTCCCCCGTTTGAACCCTTAGCTTCCTGCTCCTTTCTGCTTCTCTACTTGAAGGTCTCCTTCTTGGTCGCTATAACTTCGACCCGGCGGGTGTCTGAGATCAGGGCGCTCACATCGTAGCCGCCTTATACGGTCTTCTGCAAAGACGAAGTCCAGCTGCGTCCGCACCCAGCTTTTCTGCCCACGGTCTTTTCTCAGTTCCACATTGGCCAAGATACCTACTTACCGGTCCTCTGTCCAAACCCTCATGCATCAGATGAGGAGCGCAGGTTGCATGCTCTAGGCATCAGACGGGCTCTGGCCTTCTCATTGATATCCGTTCCGTAAGTCAACGCAATTATTCGTTGCTGTTGCAGACAGGATGAAGGGTTGCCCGGTATCAGCCAGAGAATTTTGTCTTGGATCACGGCCTGCATCCGCTACTGCTACAAGCTGGCGAAGGTGCCTCCGCCGGCAATCGTGATGGCTCATTCAACTAGAGTGCAAGCGTCTTCGGCAGCCTTCCTGGCGCAGGTGTCGATTCAAGAAATTTGTCTGGCCGCCATTTGGTCATCCGTTCATACGTTCGCGTCGCACTATGCACTGACTCAGCAGGCGCGAGACAACGCTGGCATTTGCAGAGTGTGCTATGAGCTGCACGACTGTGAACTCCAAGCCCACCTCCATTGATACTGCTTGTGAGTCACCTAGAATGGAATCGACATGAGCAAGCACTGGAAGAAGAAAAAACGGTTACCTACCTTTCGTAACTCTTGTTCTTCGAGATGTGTTGCTCATGTCCATTCCATTACCCGCCCTCTGCCCCTCTGTTGGAGTTCTTGGCAAGAAGGAACTGAGAGGGCGTGGGTCGGTGGTGCCTGATATATTGTGGCATGAGCGCAGCACTCTAGAGGGCGCCACAGCTGGCTCTACGGGTACCGCTAATGCAAAAATCTCTGACAGACGTGCACGTGAGCGCACGCATACCTAGAATGGAATGGACATGAGCAACACATCTCAAGGAACAACAGTTACGAAAGGGAGGTAACCATTTTTTCTTGGTTTTAAAACAGATATGTTCTAGGAGGAATTATTTTGGGGAAGTTCTATGGTCTGTGTTATACACGAGAGCAGACTAGATGATCACAGTGGTCTCTTCTGGCCTTGGAATCTATGAATCTATTAATTTAAATGATATAGTAAAAAAAATTCAGTTTAGTTACATTTTGAATATCTTAACTGTTTCTTTTTAATAGGAAAAGAAATTTTCACTCCTTTAAATAATTATGGTTCCAATTAGTGCATTGTTCATATATTTAAAGAATGGTTAAAGCACTGCTAACACATACTAATAATTTTAATTACCGTCACGGCTTTGATTTTCTGTAGACTATATCTAAGGCCTTGCCTACTCTCACGGTGCACTGGTTTCATTAAAACTGTGGTTTTAAACCAATTTATTTAAACTTGTCCAAGTTGTGAGTAGCAATTTAAATTAAACAATAAATCGGATATTATGTAAAATATCAATTGTTTTTCTTTCAAAAACTGCTTTCCTTTCTCACTACATGATTTTCTTAACCCTCCTCAAAATGCCCTTCAATTTCTGTATCGTGTTCCTAATTGCTGAGCTGAAAGAATCATAACTGGTGGAAGTTAGCTTTGGATTGCAAATGACTATCAAATTTCAGTAATGAATATAACTACTATACTAATATTATTTTTGGATCAATACAGAGTCCAGTTTATTTCAGGATTGGTACAGCGTAGCTTTTCCCATGTGTCAATATTTTTCTTGCCTTTAAATTATATAGGTTGAAATTAATTAGTTACTAAATGGACAGGCCTTCTAAATGACAGCTTTGAAATAACTACAAATATTGTAGTTTTTCTCCACATCATTTCCAAGTAAATACTTTATTAAAGTATTTCAGGAAAATTACAGTTGACATTTTTCTATACTCTTTCTCCATTGTGAGCTGCTGACTTTAATAGGAGCTGAGGCTGCTCGGCACTGTATAGAATGAGGCCCTTACTGGGTAAACTTTGGGTTATAAATTAAAATTGCTAGAACCTTTTTCTAAAGTGTTGATATGGTGGTATCTGAAGGAGGCATCATAAAAAATAAGACTTTATGCCAACAAAACATTAATAGAGCTGGTGCTGTAAAAATAAGATTAGGTTGGTTAATTTAGGCTTCCTTCCAGTAAATTAGTTGAATACTGGAATGATGCCTTGTCTATTTTCTAAAGAATGACTTTCTAGTTTCTTTTGGCATCATAATATGAAGGAAAAAATGTCTAAGGGGAACTTGTTCTTCTTTTACTTTTCATACATATAGCCCAGTGTGGTGATGGAATTCAGCCCAACTGGTTTGACTCAGTTAAATGTCACTTAGGCTATGAAATATGGACAAATATATACATACCATGTATGTACGAGTATATTTTAAAAAAAGGCGTAAACTGGCTCATCTGATTCACTAAAGTACACTGCCGTCATACAGTAATCGTACAGGTTTGACAGGTGCCAGATGCCAGAATATTCAACAGCTATTCTGTCTCAGACTTTATATTTTGAAGATGAAAGTAGGTGCAGGTATGGAGTGTTTTCATTTTGGATAAAATTAAACCTCAAGAGCTGCTTTCCTGGTCATATGCTGTTTGTTTTGGAGGGCTGGTTGTTTCACTGACATGCTTTTGCTGGTGAATCTCAATGATACTAAATGTTTCCGCACTGTACAACAGTGGTAATTATCATCTGGATTTGGCTGTTTTGTGCATGCTGACTTCTTGCCATATAACAAAATTGAACCCAAAAGAATCTCATTTATAATTTGCTTTGATTGGCTGATATGTTGTCCATCTATAGTAATATAGATACTTAAATCATTATTTAACTTAATCATCTGAAAAATCATTGGTAATGATTCATCCAGGACATATGAATCAGATTCAAATAAGGTTAAACTATAGTTAAAAATTTTAAAACAAGCTTTAAAAATTGTATATAGATTTTGTCCACTAAACTATTTCTATCAATTGACAAACCAAAAATCTGTACTGTAGATTTAACTTCTTTAAACAGAATACAGGAACCAGAAAATGTATTTTCCTGGGGAAATGGAGTAGTAATAATAATAATTAATAATACCTAGCTCTTATTAGAAAATTAACAAAGATATTTAGTTTTTAATATTTACAATCTTTTCATTTTTTTTATTGGCCCAAAATCAGCTGCCTAAAAGTGGAAAAATGGATGAGGAAATATAATGGGTACTTAGAAACAGTTCTTGATAAGTAAACAACTGAGATTATGAAGTAAACACATAATATCAGCAACTACACAGTTCGTGAGTTTCAGAAAAGGAGATCCAGCTGAACAGAACTGTACAGGATAAAACTCATAAAAATATGTTTATATTCATGTTTAAACATTCAAAGAATTAAGTTTACAATGTCTGAGTTTAAACAGGTTTTCTGTTATTAAAACCCCCATCGTATAAAAAATGAATGCTAAATAAATATTCATTTTAAATAGTAAAATATTATGACCTGTTTATAATAGGTGTTATGGGAGCCCTGGCTTAAATAAATTCATATTAACGTCCAATATAACACATGGTTTTTAAACAAAAATTTTCTGATGAATATGCCAAAGTAGATCCCTAAGGGCCACCATTTTTCACCTTGAGTAGCATTGATAGAAGTGGGATTATTTACAAGGTAAAATGTACTATTCGTTATGAGTACAGGTTTCAGAATCTGGCCCTAAATTATATGGCTTACATGAGCTTTAGCCTTAACTTTCATTGAATTGGTTAAGCCCTTGATGCAGTGCATTTAAGCACATGCTTAACTTTAAGCACATCAGTGGGACTATTCACATGCTGGTCTGCTGAATCAGGGTTTACGTCTCCAACATTTTTTTGAAAAGTAGGAGTGTGTGTGTGTGTGTGTGTGTGTGTGTGTGTGTGTGTTTGAGAAGTTTATACAGATCGATGTTTGGGTTTGTTATAAGAAAGCTTTTGGCTGGTGTTTGTCAGAATTACAAAGATAGGTGAATTAATAGAGCAATCTTGCTTTCTCTGATTACATAAAACTGAAAATATTGCACATATGTTGATAATCGGACAAATGCTTTAGTCTGTTTCTCAGTAGGTAAAAGTAGAAATGTAGTATTTGTGCAAATATCTCAATAGGGGATGTTTCTGTATCTGGAAGAGTATACAGACAGGGAGAGAATGGCTTCAGCTGTGAGTGTATTATTCCATGCTGAGAGTAAAGCAGTTACACAATAAACACATAAGCCACTGTCCTTGTTTCATGCAGGTTGTAACATGATTACAGTTAACTTACTGTAGTTTGAAAGCTCTTCTGAGCTACCTCAGATAAAGGGCAGATCTTTCTCAAAGGTATTGGTTTACTCATAAAAGGCACTGGATCACATAAATGTCCAGATTTTGAAGGTCCCCATATAATATTAGAATGACACCAAAGAAACTGAGAATTATACATAAAAATGAACTTAAAATAACGGAGTAGGACCAGCACTTCTTCTCATGCTCTTTAATATAAACAGACTATTTCAAACATTTTAAGTAAAGCATTATGCTTGATCTGAGATAAAGTCCTGAATTTTCCTATATTTTTACTTTTTAATTATCTTGTTTTTGCAGGGGAAGTCCGTTTGACACCAGAGGACTTTGCTAGAGCTCAGAAATATTGCAAATATGCTGGCAGTGCTTTGCAGTATGAAGATGTGAGCACTGCTGTGCAGAATCTACAGAAGGCCCTCAAGTTACTGACTACAGGCAGAGAATGATGCCTTTGTCCAACAGATTCATGTCTTTTGCCTAAAGAACTAACAATCCATTACTTTACCTTCTGCCTATCAGGGGCACAGTTACATGAAAGCTCTCAATTCCATTGACCATGACAATGAAATCTGTGTCTCAGTATCAGATCCCTGATGTAGCACTAATCAGCAAGCTCAACCAGTTTTCATTTTCCACACAGTGGAACTGGAAACATATGGATGCAGTGATGTGATCAAGATACTGGAGAATGCACTCTGAACACTGCTTAAGAGTTAGAATTAATGCTACAATATTTAGAATGTTTAAGTAAAAACATGGAATCTCTCTTTACCGTTTTGGAAAAACAAAGTAATATGCTCCACTAGTGTTGAGTCTGAATTTATCACTGTTAATAAACTTTAAAATGAAAAATGGCTTTGGGACTGGAAATAAAAATTAGGGCTTTTCTACTGAAATTTAGATAGCAGGAGTGTGGGGCCGGATGGATCATGAAATGATCTTAATGTACATCCAGAAAAGTCCTTTTTAAAAAATACAACTAAATTGTTTTGGTATTATCTGAGACCAAGTTAAAGGTGGGAGGCTTGAAAAGAAGAATACTGAGATTTAATTGATAATTTATTGCACTGGAACGTCCATTTCTTGAAGCTTTGGGCAAAGACATTTAGATGCTCCTCTACCCCCCCTTCCCCCCCCCCCCCCCACACGTGTGTGAACTGCTACATATTGGTTTTGGTAACTGATTCTTACTCATTTTGCATGGGCAATTTAAATTTTATATATTAAGGATGGTTAAAAGAAGGTAGTACTAGTGTTAACTAGGGATGAGCCCAAAGCCCAGATCCTAACAGCATGGATTTAAGCTTCACAGCTGCCCCATTTCTTTCACCAGCCAAATGACCCCTCAGCCAAATGCCTGGACTTTGACACCTTCATAGTCTCTGTTTAAATCCAAACTTTGCAGCTGAGGTTCATCTCTAATGTTAGTGCAACAGAGTATCCTCCCCTGCTTACTTTCTGTGGAGATCTTGGGGATTCTAGAATTGATTAAAATATTTTGGAATTTGAACTCTGAACACTTTATGAGCTGTGTTCTGGGGAATTATGGAGCTATTGATTGTTAAAACTGCATCCATGCTGTATAAAAATAAATGAATAAAAGATTCTTAAATTAGTATGACAGCCTTAAATGAGTACACTATAGAGTTTGTCTATTTGTATAATACATCTTTGAATACCAGTGAAACCTGATAGACGTCATTCTTTACAAAATACCAACTCAGATGTGCACACCTGTTCATGCCTACGCTATTTTCCAGGGATGGAAATATAGCTGATATTTAAAGTACATAAAAGCAGCCTAATGGTATGTAAAATCTGGTGCACAAAGCACATCCAGTTAAGACTGCAAGCTCTGTTCAACAGCATGTTTGAAAAGGTAGTGTGATCATTTGTAATGTATTCTTAAGCATTTTAACGGAGTACAAATTAATTCATAAAATAAGTTCATCCTTACATTTCCCATTATGGGATAGAATCCCAACTTAGACAATGTTTGTCTGTGTAAGGGACATTGTTGCAAGTTTAGAACAAACAATTCTGAAACATTACTGACAATAACTTTCTGTAGCTCTCGGCAATGAGCTCATGGTTCATTATAGTACTTCAGGCAGGTCAGAGATGCTTGAGTTTGCTGAACAAGCCCTTCTCACCATCATACTAAACTACTGGTAAATTCTTCCATATATATATATATTATGAAGGGGTTTTATTGTCACTAGAAAAGCTGGATTTTAAGAAAAATGATATGTTGAATTATCGACCTAGAGAAACCTGTTGCAATCTAGAAATAACTGTAAAAGTATACAATTTGGTATAGCACTTTTCATCTTAGGATCACACAGCTACTTATAAATATTAAAGAATAAAGCCCCAGAGTACCCCAGGGAAGAAGCTAAGTTTTACTAGCTGTCTGATTTATAAATTAAGTAAATGTTATGCTTTGTTCTAATAATGTTTCTCAAACGAGTACAGTGTTAATCGGGGCTTTTAAAATTAAAAATAAGTTTTCTCCTGGAAGAATTTAGTGAGCCAGTGCAATGGATTAGAAGGAAATAATTGAGTAGAACTATACACTGAATTTATAGGTCGCTCAAGAAGGAGAAGGACTGGCTGCTGGTTACAAGGAATATGTTAAGTCTCCAAGGAGCATCATTAGTACAGCAGCCACAGGCAGTTCCATAGGGGCAGCAGTTGCAGCATCTAGCTTTTCCAACCAGATGAAAATTTCAGGGTGGTGTCTGCGAATGGGATGGAAATTTAAAATGAGTTGAACTAACAGGTTTCCAAAGCTGTTTGCGAGGGTCTCAGTAGCATTTTTTCTTACATCTAACTGCTTGTATGGATTTTCCCCCACCCCCCTTAGGAAATCCTCTAGCATTCTGTTGCCTGTAAATTCAAAACTGAACTCCAAAACAGTCTTTTTATATTTTTAAACAGATCAAGGCATTTTATAGTACAAAAAAAGGTCTTCCCCTTTCAAGGACTTATTTTTAATTAGCTATTGTTGACAGCACAGCTACTACAGATATTTCAGTGTGCTGCTGGCACACTACCTTTTTTTCATCTACACATAACCAAATTCTGTGTGCCGTTCCCATTGACTTCATTAGAAGTTGTGTTGCATCCATGTAACTGAAGGCAGAATTTGGCCCAACTACATTCAGCCAAAAGAAAAAGATATTTAAAAATCAATGTTTGTAATAAACATTTTGCTCTATGAATAAATAATTTTCGATTTAGTGCTTCTCATCCAAACAGATGAACTTTGCAATTTATGAATATTCCACTGAACTAAGGCCATTTCTGGGATTAGCTTAATGTGGCAGCTTTTTCAAAAGTTTACATTAATGTTATGCAACAGTTCAGGAGCAGTGAAGTTGCTATATCCAGCTGATGCAGGGAGGATTTAAGTAAGTAGAATGTAATTAACCTAATTGGAGTTTGGCACAGGCAATGAAACGAGCAGTCTTGATCTTAAGTAGCATGGGAGCTTTTAATAAGTGTTCATGAACTCATTTTACATTCTCTCTGAAAGGTGATACCTCCACCCACAGCTCCCTCTAACACTGTGCCGGGAATTAGTTTAATACTGACTCAACCAGGAGTGTCACTTGCTGAGTCATACACCATTGCCTGCAAGTATAAATCTGGGGACTCCATCCACATACCAGTCAAGCGTTACCCTGCTTAGCTTGTGCAAACTGAACCCACAGTCTAAGGGGTGTAGAAAACAAATAGTGCCTTGCGTGAACTATGTTCATTTTTGCTATTAATAACTTTCAGATAAATACATTTATTAAAAGGTTTTAATTAGTATTAATTTTATGCATAGGTATATCTATAGCAGTGATTTTCTTAATACTTTCAGAGTTCTAAGTTTTAAACTTCCACCTGTCCTGGAGGTAGGAAAAGCGTCTTGCAATAGTTGTAGTTCAGGAACTCAAGTGTTCTGTGGAATTCACCTGCAAGGCAAGAAATCCTCTGCATGATACAGTGGGAACCCTTAAGAAGTGCCTCTGTTTTGAAAGACTCTACCAATTCTGGAGAGAGTCCATTAAAATTGCTGCAATCATTCCAATTGATGGAATGTTTCAAGGATGACCAGTGTCGGTGAAATTTTATAGAGTCACATGTAACCTTTATATTGAAATGTTGCCATTAATATTAAGTTGTTAAAGATAAGGTTGCAGTAACACCCAATTTAGTTTTCAGGTTTGAGCCTCTAGGTCAGTTACAGAAATTTTATATAGTAAAGGACCACAAGGCAGCACTTTGAATGATAAAACCAAACTTTATTAAAGAAAAAAGTTAAGCAAACAGGCATGCAATTATTACTTGCACAATACTACAATAATACGTACACTCAAAGATGAAAGTGTATCAGTGAGTGATCAGTCCACTGACAACAGAATGAAGTTCAGCCTTATAATTCTGTTCCCTTTTGACGTTAATTGGAGCGCTCTCCAAATTAACAAAACTACTCCTTTTGTAATCCATTGTAATACTAATTAACATTAAACTGTCTCTAACCATAATTATATTTCTACCACCTCTTTTTGGCTTTTTACATTACTCATTATTTAAATTAACAACAGCACCATTTGAGCCTGCTGGGAGGCTTCCTGGATGATTTTATATACCATGTTATATTACTGTCTCCTTGCACATCCCTGGCCAGTCAGATACATGATTAAAATTAGGGGCCAATGAATAATGCATTATGCAGCTGCATAACTTACAGATTTTAGCAAATTGATGCATAAATCTATAAAAGTGCTATCCTTTCTGCTCACTTGCCAAGGTCCAAATGTGAGGTGCAGTGCCTGGCAGATGAAAATGAGGAACACAAAATATTAAGCATACAGGAAATTTAAAGTTCTGTGTGATTGCTTCCTTGAGTTTAAACATTTTCTATCACCTGTATTCCCTCATTCTGTGTTCCTGATGTAAATAACTTTCAACAATAAGAAGCCAGCAAACTTATGTGGACTATAGGTAACTTTGGGAATAAAATGAGTGATGTCCCTTGAAATTGAGCATAGTTGACAGATATTGGGAATCTTTGAGTTTTGAAACTTTAAATTCTGCCAGAAAGCACAATGCTATGAGAGCTTCTGATGCCATCTACCTCTGCTGGTAGAAATTATAACTTTTGAGTGAGGTTTAAAACTTGACTCTCGGAGGTTGCCAGTTCTGTAAGGTATTTGAGAATTGAATTAGTTCCATGAGGCTCCATATGATTCTTTCTGCTCACACCAAATACAACCTTATTATATCCTTCCCTAAGAAATACACTTAAAGCTAGTGAGTTATAAGCTCCACTAGGAAAGCTTGTAACTCATAGATCACCACTGATTAAATGCAGGTTTCATTAAAGAGAGTAAAGCATTTGGCTCTCGAGGATGAGACAGGCATGGCCATCAAGACTTGCGATTCCAATCTTAAACCTGACACTAACTTGAGTGATTTGGGGCAAGTCACTTAACTTGTCCTTGCCTTAATTATCTCATCTGTAAAATGGGGTATATGTATGCTTACCACATCACAAAACTGTCGAGAATTATTTACTGGTAGTTTAACATTGGCACAGTGCTTTGAAAATATAAAGCACTGTATAAGGATTAAATTGAGTTCACTTGAATCCAGCACTATAAAAGTCTGTGCTCTTTGACAATATGAAATGTCTTTTTAAAGACTTTTAGCATGAGTCTATCGGAGTAAATGCCTAAGCTTGGTTAACAATCTAAGAACAATTTTTAATGTAAGAACACTACTGGGCATTGTTACTACATGTTTAATCATCACTAATCTTACTGATTTCGGCAGCATGTATTCCAAATACATTGTCACTTCCCTCACTGTTTACTGTTTGGATTGTTCCTTCCCACGGCATACGCACAACACAAAATGTAACAACTGCTGAGGGTTTAATTTATTTTCCAATCAAATGCCAAAGCCTTTGGTTTTATTACCTCATGCTCTCCACGAAGGTGCGCGAGCGAGGCTTAATCTCAAAAGATCAGAGGTGAGATAGCAGGCTCAACAACTGATGGAAAAGTTTGTAAAAATGTAAAGGCTGGAAGCAGAAAAAGCTGCCAGATTTTCTTTCCTAACCCCCTTCTTCCTCCTTCCCCCAATAATATAGACATGCTCATTACAGAATACAGACGAGGTCCACACCATGAAGAATTTACAAGCTACTGCAGCAAGAAAAAATATGATGTGACGAATGAAGTGAGGGAGGGTACGATGAAGGTTTTATTTATGCAACAATTGCATCAACATCTACAGAAGATGTGGATTTTAAGGAAGGGATTTGAAGAGGTAGAGGGAAAGAAAAGTGGCAGACAAGAAATGACCCTTCCCGATGTAAGGAACAGCAGCAGTGGCGTCAATCTCTTTTAGGGTGATCAGATGTCCCGATTTTATAGGGACAGTCCCAATTTTTGGGTCTTTTTCTTATATAGGCTCTTATATATTACCCCCATCCCGATTTTTTACATTTACTGTCTGGTCACCCCTAATCTCTTCGTAGGGAGGTGAATTCCAGTCATCCCCCCCCCCCCCGGGACCCCATTCTTTTCCTTGCTTGCCCCCCCCCCCCCCCCCCCCCCCCCCCCCCCATCTTCCTCCCACAGCAATCACTATCTCCCTCAGCCAGGGAGTCTCTCTTACTACAGAATGCGTGAGTCAGTGCTGCCAGGGAGTGGAGTTTTCAGCAGACTTCCCTGTGCTCTGCCACACAGGATCAGACTTCCTGTGCATCAGGTCACAACCAATTTGAGTGGCACTGCGACCCCATGCACCAGGTTGCAACACCACTCGCTGAAGTTTGACCCAGTTCC